TTTCATTGCAATTATTTGTTACTTAAATTTTCTGCGTATTAAACCATAATTAACAATACGCTATTCGTTAACGCAGGTAGAATTAATGACGCTGACTGACCTGATTTTGTCCAGGGGGCGTAGTACGGTAGTTTGTACTGTGATGTTTGGTAGTTTGGCAGTGAGCTCTCATTTATGAAACTGGGGAATGTTTCGTTATCTTCAAATCGTAAACACGTATCATTAGAATTATATTTTTAAAATATTGATTAGGACATGTACTAAGTAACTAAATGCTCTAGCGAAAATATTCACACATATTGCGGAAAACGTACAAATTTAAATTAGAGAAAATTAACTATTTTTAGAGGTTGGTTTTTCAAAAAGGTGGGGATTTAGTTAAAGAACAGATAGAGACTAAAGGGAAGCTCTATGAGAAAAGTTAGAATTAAAAAGTCGATGTTTTCGTGTCATAGCGAAAGATGGATTATTATTAAAAATAATACTTGCATTAATTGTTGTCACCATTTGTGAAAAATATGGAAAATATCCTCTAGGTTCGCATACCTTTTTTTTAATTTTTTTAAGGTGGCTAACAAAATACACAGACAGAAAAGTTTAGATCCTGTTCGTTAATGTAGCGCATAGAAAAAAATTAGAAAAGAGAACGTTTCGTGTATGGCATACGTAGTTAGTACGGAATATTAATCTGAAGGCTGCAAGACAGTGAAAGAGTGATGCGCTTAAGTGTGGTTCAGAGGGGTTATTTGGGCTGTAGAAGTTTTTCTTTGAACAGGGTTCAAATAGCGTCTCCTAGAGCGTTAGCAGAGAAGAGTATTACAGTATTTAATATAAGCGTCCAGATTTCATTATTGTTGAGATTTCACAGAAACACACTTTCATGTAGTAGTCGCAGCAGCTTTAAAGTATATGACTTTTTAGTTAAGATGCCTTTCGAGTTTGCTTTATGGCTTGATAGGAAATTAAAGGGTAGATACAGATAAGTTACGAAAAAAAGTATGTACACTATCCTCAAAGATCAGCAATAAATAAAAGAAATTGATGAAATAGTAAAGTTGACTGCGATATCTTAAAATCATCAATAAGATAGATAAATTAAATTAATTTTGAAAATATTAAATAATAAAAACAAATAATAAAAATAGCAAAGAAAATCAAAATCATCAATAAGATAGATAAATTAATTTTGTAAATATTAAATAATAAAAATAAAATTATAATAGTAAAGAAAGCCTACCACGGCCACATACACATAATATTTTCGACATATGAACTTTTCCCAGATAAATAGTCAAATATTTCACGATACCTTAAAACAGAAGCATGCGGAAATATGTATGAAGTTAACGCACGGTAGATTGCTTAGTAAATTAAAAAGGTATATGGTTTCTAATATCCTACTTTATTAATGAAAATTTTAACCAGCTTTTTGTTTTGCAGATATTATTGGTGGTGCCTGCCAGCTTCCAGTTCCGAGAAAAGAAATCCAACACTTTTCGTCTTTATTTCCCCTGTCCTTTGTGCGCAATAAAAGTACAGTTTGTACCCGCGTGGGTACACATTCGCAGAACTATATGTTTTTAAAATAAATGTTTTGGTCAATATTCACTAGGTGGGGTTACCTTATTAAAGAAAATCTTATTCCAAGAGGGGACACTAGTTTACATTCGAACCGCTAGGGGGTGCAGATGGTCACGCGAACAATATGATCAAGTCTCATTGACGCCATTGCTTTTCTTAGGGGTGGGAAAATATCTGGGCTCTGATTGGCTTCGCCGCCATCGCAAACTAGAGG